ATAGGGGGGCCTCAAGGTCAGGGGGCCCCCCTCGATATGTCTTCACGAGTTGCTGCTGCTGCTGCTGCTGTTGCTGCTGCTGCTGCTGCTGCTGTTGCTGCTGTTGCTGCTGTTGTTGCTGCTAGTTTCGCCTATCTAGATACTCAGATAGAGCAACAAAGTTTTATTTCTCTGCTTTTTATTAAATTAAAAAATGAAGTGCAGCGAGCAGCAGCAGAACACACAGCCGATTGTAAGGTGCCTATACACCGCAGCAGCAGCAGCAGCAGCAGCAGCAGCAGCAGCAGGAGCAGCAGCAAGAGCAGCAGCAGTCTTTTGCTGCAGTTTATGAGCTTTATAAAGAAGAATAAAATAAAAAAGAGAGAAGAAATACACAAATAGATATATAAATAAAATAAATTTATTTTATTTATTTAGGGGTTGTTAGTGCGCTCAGTGTGTTTACTCTGGTGGGGTTGCCTATACACCCCAAACATACAGCTGAAACCAAACCGAAATAAAACAAAAAAACAGAAAAAAAAAACAAATATATATATATATATATTTTATATATATATTTTATATATATATTTTATATATATATTCTATATATATTTTTTATATGTATTTTTTGTATATAGATATAAAAATAAAAAAAGAAATAAAAAAGAAAGAAGGAAAAAGAAGAAGCAGCAGAAAGAAAGAAACGGAGAGAGCTGCATACGGAGACAGAGAAAAGAAAAAACAAAAAAAAGAAATAAATAAAATAAAAATAAAATAAAAATAAATATAGTTACAACAAACAAGTAGAGAAGAAGACACAGAAAATATAAAAAATAAAATAAAGATAAAAAGAAAAAACAAAAAAAAAGAAAACACAAAGAAAATAAAAACAACCCTAAACAGCTGCCTATACACCTCAAGCTGGAGTTCAAATGTATGAACAACTCGTAGCTAGCTCGACAGCTAGCTGTAGCTAGCTACGGCTAGTTGTAGCTAGCTGCGGCTAGCTGTAGCTAGCTGCGGCTGGCTGTAGCTAGCTGTAGCTAGCTGTGGCTAGCTGTGGCTAGCTGTAGCTAGATACAGCTGCTTAGCTGTAGCTACCTGCAGCTAGCTATACAGCGAACTGCGGCTAGCTAGCTCGATAGCTAGCTGTGGCTAGCTGCAGCCAGCTCTATGGCTACTCTTAGCTAGCTAGCATCCTACTTACAGCTAGCTAACAGTAAAGAGTTGTGTATTGGTATTGCTCTCCTTATGCTGCAGCAGAGAAGAAAGCTGCTGGGATCAACGCTGCTGCTGCTGCTGCTGCTGCTGCTGCTGCTGCGGCTGCTGCTGCTGCTGCTGGTGCTGCTCTTTTATAGTAGTTATACCCTGTAGTAGCATTGCTGCAGTTGGTGTATAAGCACAGCTAACAGCTAGCGCGACATAAAGGCAGCTAGCGGGGTTGTTGCTGCATGCGTAAAGAACCAGGCTAGCTAGCTAGCTGCTTAGCTAGCTAGCTAGCTAGCTAGCTAGCTAGGTAGCTAGCTGAGAGATTCAAGTGCTGGATATGGAGTAGCTAGCTGCCTAGCTGATGATAGTGCTAGCTAGCTAGCTGCCCAGTAAGCTGGAAGATCACCTAGCTAGCCAGCTAGCTAGCTAGCTAGCTAGCTAGCTAGCTAGCTGCATGCATTCAGAGTATCTAAAGATTATTTGCTGCAGCGCATACAGTAGCAGCAGCAGCAGCAGCAAGAGCAGCAGCAGCAAGAGCAGCAGCAGCAAGAGCAGCAGCAGCGGCAGAAGAGTATAGAAGGAACTGCTGCTGCTGTTTGTTGTTTTTTGTTTTTTTTTATTGCTCTATAAACAACAGCATCCAGCTTGTATTACAAAGCTAAACCCTAAACCCTAAACCCTAAACCCTAAACCCTAAACCCTAGAGCTGGAAGTGTCAGCTGTATCGATACAGTATATATTTGGTTTAGGGTTTAGGGTTTAGGGTTTAGGGTTTAGGGTTTAGGGTTTGTGTGTGCAGCTGTTGGCATCTCCTGCTTAGGATGTTTTGTTGTTTTTGTTTGCTTTTGTTTATTTTTTTTTTGTTTTTTTTGTTTTTTTTTGTTTTT